CCCTGGCATGCGTTGCTGTGGCCCAGCCTCTTGATCTGGAAAATAAAGTAACGAGAAAGTGTTGGTTTCTAATATATGTTATTTCTTGTTGTTTCTTTGTCAGTGTTGATGTGAAGATTGTCTGGTATGCCTACTCTGGAACATGCAACATATAATTGTCCTTCTTTAGGGGTCCCTTTCAAATCTATGATACTATATCCTTGCGTGTGTGCATGTGTATCATATCTATCTATCTATCTATCTATATGGCTGGATGGCTCTTTGTCAAGAGGGCTTTGTCAAGGGAGTTGGATTGGAAGGCCTTAAGTATTTTCTGTTGGTCATGGATGTTCTGTGTAAGACGTTTGCCCCAATTCTGTCATTGGTGGGGTTCAGAATGCTCTTTGATTGTAGGTGAACTATAAATCTCATGAACGACAACTTCCAAATGTCAAGGTCTATTTTCCCCAAACTCTATCTGTGTTCATATTTGGGCATATGGAATATTCGTGCAAAGTTTGATCCAGATCTATCATTGTTTGAGTCCACAGTGCTCTCTGGATGGAGGTGAACTACAACTCCCAAACTCAAGGTCAATGCCCAATAAACCCTTCCAGTATTGTCATGGGAGTTCTGTGTGCCACATTTGGTTCAATTCCATCAGTGGTGGAGTTCAGAATGATCTTTGATTGTAGGTGAACTATAAATCCCAGCAACTATAACTCCCAAGTGACAAAATCAATTTTTTGAGTGATGGTCGCTCCTTGGGTTAGTAGATGTCTTGTGGCCAAATTTGGTGTCAATTCGTCCAGTAGTTTTTGAGTTCTATTAATCCCACAAATGAACATTACACACACACACACACACACACACATATATATATATACATACACACACACACACACACATACATATATATACATATATATAGGCCTGGGTAACAACGGAAAAATTTGTTTCTAAAATCGATTTGTATTTGGGTTTTTTTTTTGTTTCGATATTTAAAATAATTACAAAATTTTCCTTTTAAAAAGTTCGATATTTACGAAATTTCGTAAATGGGTAAAAAATTAACGAATCGATTTCCGAAACAATAACGAATCGATTCGTTAATGGCGGACGCGACCGCGAAATACGCTAAAAAACCTCCAAAACCTTCTGAAGCTTCCCTCTCCCTCTGTTGTTGACTGTTGGTGTGATATTATCATTTTTTTTCACTAATTAAACCATAAAACTGGCCCAGACATGCGGAAATAATAACGAAACGACCTCAAAACAATAACGAAACGAATACAATATCGAAATACGAAGCATTTACAAAACGTTTTTGAAAATTCGTTTTTTAATAATTGCTCCAGAATGGTTCGTTATCGTTTTGTAATTGAAAAAATTAACGAATTATTAACGAATTACGAATTAACGAAACGAAACCGCCCAGCCCTAATATAACATATAGTTAGTATATTTTTCCATAAATTTCCATTAGATGCTTTTCAGATTGTACAAGTAAAAGAAGGGGAAATATTGGGAGGCAGGAAAGGAGGGTTGGGGTGTATGATGGCAGCAAAGGGGTGAAGGTTTGCTTACATAAGGAAAATATCCGTAGGGAGAAGTAAGGTATAAGGGGGATGGAAGTGAGGGAAAAAGGGAGGGTAGTGGATGGATGTGGTCTTGACTTCCCATTCGACTTCTCCATGTGTTCCCAAAAGGCAGAATAATGCCGAACAGGTAATGAACTAGGTTTCTTTCTATGTCTTCAGCTTCTCTCCATTTTGTAGTTTATCTTGATCTATTTCCTGTTTCCAGCTAGTATTTTCTTTTCGAGTTTTAGTTCTCACCCCTTTTTCATGTAATAATAATAATAATAATAATAATAATAATAATAATAATAATACTTTATTTGTACCCCGCTACCATCTCCCCAAGGGACTTGATGCGGCTTACATGAGGCCGAGCCCAAATACAACAATACAAGCAATAATAACAACAATACAAGCAATTAAAATAAAACATGGACAATACCATAATGCAACATTAACAATAAGACCACATGATTAAAAACTATGGGAAGGCCAAATGTAAAATTAAAATTGAAAGTAATGCTGGAACATGGACGAAAAATGATAGGGCGTTTGTGAAAAACATAAAAGCAGACCTAAAAAATGTAAAGTGCTTTGGAGGACAAAGTCCTATGGGATCATTATTCTGGGAAGGCACACTGGAACAGCCAGTCTTCACATAGTAGTCAGTCAGGTATTCATCATATTGTTTGCAATCTGTTTTCTTTATAGGTTTTCCTTTTGAGTCTTTGAGGTAGAAAGTTATTTCGCTAACTTTGTTTAGTTATTCTTTTTTAGATGGCATCTCCTTCAATTTCCACTTTTTTGGCATACACCATTCTGGCGGCTGTTAGTATCTATATAAATAAAAATGTAATGTTCGTTTGTGGGATTAACATAACTCAAAAACCACTGGACAAATTGCTGCCAAATTTGGCCACAAGACACCAACTAACCCAAGGAGTGACCATCACTCATTGTAATTTGGGAATTGTAGTTGCTGGGATTTATAGTTTACCTACAATCAAAGAGCATTCCGAACTCCACCAATGATGGAATTGAACCAAATGTGGCACACAGGACTCCCATGACCAACAGAAAACACTAGAAGGGTTTGGTGGGCATTGACCTAGAGTTCTGGAGTTGTATTTCCTCTATATCCAGAGAGCGCTGTGGACTCAATGATGGATCTGGGCCAATACTCAATAAGTCCAAATATGAACACAGATGGGGTTTGGGGAAAATAGACCTTGATATTTGGGGGTTGTAGTTACTGGGATTTATAGTTCACCTACAATTAAAGAGGATCCTGAAACCCACAAATGACAGAATTGGGGCAAACGTCCCATACAGAACCCCCATGACCAACAGAAAATACTTAGGGCCATCCAGTCCAACTCTCTTCACCAGGGCAAGAAAACGTAATCAAAGCCCTCCTGACAAAGAGCCATCCAGCCATAGATATAGATAGATATGATTCACACACAGAGAGATATAGTATCATAGATTTGAAAGGGACCCCTAAAGAAGGACAATTATATGTTGCATGTTCCAGAGTAGGCAAATTTCCACATCAACACTGACAAAGAAACAGCAAGAAACACTGTTTACCCACACACATAAAAATTACATATATTAGAAACCAACACTTTCTCATTACTTTATTTTCCAGATCACCCAACTGGGCCACAGCAACACGTGGCAAGGGTCGGCTAGTATGTTATATAGGTTAGTATATGTTATTGTTGTTATTCATCTCATTATTATCAGTATTTTCATCTGCCAAGTGGGCCAATGAAATTCCAGTTAGTATTATAGAAATGGAATTATGCTGGTGCCAGTGTATTAAGAGCAGTTGAATGCCAAGTCAGTTGTACATAATTGTAGACACCACCCTCAAATATAATTTAAAACCAACATATCATAGCATGGTGTGGCTCAGTCTGTTTTATTGATTCAGGTCACCTTCGCAAGTAATGAATCAATATGATAATGCTACATAGCCTACTATGAGTCAAAACCAGGAATAAAAGGAGCATAGAAATGAAAACAAAAATAATATCAATCCAGATGAGAAATTTACTAACATGAGTTAGTATTACCAAATCTATGTTTTAAAAAATGGGCTGTCTTTGATTGGTGACGTGCTGTAGGAGTTCAAGTGACAAAAATACTGGAAAACTGTGGCAATGGACAATCATTTAAGATTTTCAAAGCCATGGTATTCCCTGTAGTAACCTACGGATGTGAGAGCTGGACCTTAGGGAAGGCTGAGCGAAGGAAGATAGATGCTTTTGAGCTGTGGTGTTGGAGGAAAGTTCTGAGAGTGCCTTGGACTGCGAGAAGATCCAACCAGTCCATCCTCCAGGAAATAAAGCCCGACTACTCATTGGAGGGAAGGATACTAGAGACAAAGTTGAAGTACTTTGGCCACATCATGAGGAGACAGCAAAGCCTAGAGAAGACAATGATGCTGGGGAAAGTGGAAGGTAAAAGGAAGAGGGGCCGACCAAGGGCAAGATGGATGGATGGCATCCTTGAAGTGACTGGACTGACCTTGAAGGAGCTGGGGGTGGTGACGGCTGACAGGGAGCTCTGGTGTGGGCTGGTCCATGAGGTCACGAAGAGTCGGAGACGACTGAATGAATGAACAACAACAAAGAGTCTTACTTATCCAACATAAATGGGCCAGCAGAATGTTGGATAAGCAAAAATGTTGGATAATCAGGAAGGATTAAGGAAAAGCCTATTAAATGTCAAATTATGTTATGATTTTACACCAAAACATCATGTTTTACAACAAATCGAAGGGAAAAGCAGTTCAATACATGGTAACGTTATGTAGCAATAACTGTATTTATGAATTTAGCACCAAAACATCGCAATGTATTGAAACAGCTGTAGATCCGGGTGGGAGGCAGACTGCATTGGATAATACAGAACGTTGGATGAGCGAAGGTTGGATAAGCAAGACTCTACTGTAGTTAACATTTCCACAGGGATACTTCAGTTGTATATATATTTATTGGCCTACTTGTGCACAAAATGTTCAGATAGGTCTAGAGCTGTAAATATGTCTGAAATTTTCAATCATCTTTAAATCTTTTTCCAATATTAAAAGCATAAAAATAACATAGATGCATGTTAACCTATTTGGAAATTGTCGAGACAATTGTTAGCATATCTGTTTGTAATTATTGCAAAAGAAACAATTCAAGATTATTTTTTATTTTCCTGCTACAAAAATTCTGAAATTTAGTTCAGAAGAAAATATTATTAAGCAATGTATAATAAAAATACATTTTTTTCTCAGTGGTAAGTTGCATGAATCTTAATGGCTCTTGAATTCGCAAAAAGATGGAACTAAATGCACTGCAAGGGTTGAAGAGAAAAATCTTCTAGAAGTTTTGGCTGGTGTGGAAAAATATTTGCTCAACATGGCAAAATTTTGTATTAGAAGATTTACGTATGCTGCCTCATCAGAGCAATCATTTCATAATACATGCGGTGAGGTGCATCTAGTCCCCAGATGAAATCCAGATGAGCCCATTCTGGGATTGCTTTATGGAAAACAAGATTTCTGATCTGAGGGAGGAGTATAGAAACATCTTTTGGATCAGAGAGCAGGTCTTTTCCTCCAGACCACACTGCTGTTGCCACATTCATATCTTCCACTTTATATATAGGAGGGATGGGCTAGAAAAATACATATAATATTAGAAGTGACTTGATAAATAAATGCATTTTATCTAAAAATGAATGAATCTGTGACATGCTGCTTCTCTCTTGAATTATGACAATCCATGTGCCCACTTTCAAACAGATTTTATCACCCACAGCAGTGTCAATTTTTAGGAATGTGGAATATTTCCCCAATTACAATCTTGACATAATGGCATTTCTTCCTCTCATTTCCTTCCTGTAATGCTCAGGCTTCTCCATGATGTGGTATGTGAAAGTCACTTTATTTTCTTTATCAAAGTCCGGATCCAGATATACCTTTATCCCAGAAACATCCCTGTTTATTTATTTATTTAAAACTTTTATATCCCGATCTTTTCAACCTCCGTAGGGGGACTCAGACCGGCTTACAGCAAGAATTCAATGCTAACAGTACAATCTAAAAACATCATATAATAACGAGTTAAAATATGTATCGATTAAAATTACAAATAAGCCAAATCGGCAAGATAAAATCATGTCCAACTCAGTCTGTATGTCGATAAAAAAAGGTGGACGTTTCTGTCCACACCCACCCCAGAAAGTGCACACTTTCTGGAGTGGTTGTCCAGACGTTCTCTTGGGACTAGATCGAGAGGCCCTACCCCCCCCCTCCCCGCAAGCCCCCAGATCCCTTAGAAAAGCAATAAAAACTTACTTGGCATCCATTAGAAGCCTCAGCCAGCTTTCCTGGCATGTAGAAATGACACCCCAGGAGAATTGGGGGGGGGGGAAGCGATTCTACATGCCAGGAGAGCCGGCCAAGGCTTCTAATGGATGTCACATAAGTTTTTATTGCTTTTCTAAGGGGTCTGGGGGGAAGCGGGTGGGTATTCTTACCGTTTACTGGGCTTATTTAGCCCAGTAAACCTATTTAGCCCAGTAAACTGTGGGAATACTGTCTGGACTGCTGTATCCTGCAGTCCAGACCTGGAAATAGTAAATTTATCTTGTGCCTTCCAAGAAGGCTTGAAATAAATCCACTATCAAATTAATTCACTACAAACCAGGATTTTCCTGGTTTGTAGCAAATTAATTCTGTACTGTCCAGAATGTTGTCTGGACAGTCCTTCCTTTATTGCAGGAGTTCCCGCAATAAAGGTCCTGTCTGGATGGGCTCACAGTTGGTGCTTTTCAAGACATGTGCAGTTCTCTACCTGGTTGTGCTTTTCCTTATTCTTGTTCTCATCACCCCAGTCGAAACCTTTGAATAGTCCACAATGGTAGGCCTAATAGGAAAGACAATAAAATTAAATATTAAATTGCTAGGTTAATATTATTTATTTATTTACATATTTATTTATTTACTATATTTATATACCGTCTGTCTCAGCCCAGAGGTGACTCAAAGCAATTCACAAATTGGCAACAATTTGATGCCTCAACAATTATAACTAGTAAAAACAATCAAGAGATTCTGTTAAAAACAATAGCATATGATAAAAAATATAAAAACCGTACAAAGCCTTAAAACATTATCATGATCATCTCCATGTCAAATCATTTTTCCATTGAGTTATCAAGTAGTTCCATAATTCCATTTAGCTATACCATATTTGGGAAGACCTGCTCAAAAAGCCAGGTTTTCACCTTGTTTCGAAAAGTCAGGAGGGAGGGAGCTGATCTTATATCTCTAGGCAGGGCATTCCACAGTTGAGGGGCCACTGCTGAGAAGGCCCTCTCTCTCGTCCCTGCCATACGCATCTGCAAAGAAGGTGGGAGTGAGAGCAGGGCCTCCTCAGAAGATCTTAATGTCCTAGATTGTTCAAAAGGAGTTACGTTTGGATAGGTAAGTTGGACCGAAACCGTGTACTAATTGAACATAAAGATGTGCCAAGGGTAGATGATTATACTTGGCTTGAAGTGTAGGGGAAATCTGCCAAGAGCACAATCTATTCACCTAATTGGAAGCCCTAGTGAACTCCATGGGCCTTACTTCTGAGACGAGCTGTATAGGATGATACTGTAAAATCTTACTCTGGTTTGACTTGGAACTTAAAAGAACACTTGCTTGGAGAAAGCATTATATTAAAATGCAAATGGAGCTTATTCAAAGTAAAAACAACAGGAATTTCCATTAAGGAATTTGTTAGGACCTGAAACCTTGCTGCATACATTGACAAGTGTTTCTAATTTACCAAGTCCATTTCTATTTTTTAAAAGAAGAAGAAAAAGGAACTCAAACAAGAAGCATGAAGGTAGTGTTTAAAACTGCTTATCCAATTTTGGGGGAGAGGGGGAAGAAAGTTTAAGTTGACCAACTTCTCCTTCCTGTCTGTTTCCCAGCTAATGTGCCTTTTCTTTTTCATATTAACCACCTATTCTTTCTTGGGGAGTCTCAGTAGGCTTGTTCGCCTTTTCCTTTGTCTTAGGAGTAATAGTGTGGTAGTGCAGTATGGTGTTGAAAGCATAATTCTTTTCTGTATTCTTGTTAGCTTAGAGCAGTGTTTCTCGACTTGAGGTTGGGACCCCTGGGGGGTCATGAGGCGGGTGTCAGAGGGATCACCAAAGACCATAAGAAAACACAGTATCTTCTGTTGGTCGTGGGGTTTGTGTTGGGAAGTTTGGCCCAATTCTATCATTAGTGGGGTTCAGAATGCCCTTTGATTGTAGATGAACTATAAATCCAAGCAACTACAACCCCCAAATGTCAAGGACTATTTTTCTCCAAACTCCACCAGTGTTCACATTTGGGCATATTGAATATTTGTGCCAAGTTTGTTCCAGATCTATCATTGTTTGAATCCACTGTACTCTCTAGATCAGTGGTTCTCAACCTGATGTTTTTGGCCTTCAACTCCCAGAAATCCTAACAGTTGGTAAATTGGCTGGGATTTCTGGGAGTTGTAGGCCAAAAACATCTGGGGACCCCAGGTTGAGAATCACTGCTCTAGATATAGGTGAATGACAACTCCAAAACTCAAAGTCAATGCCCACCAAACCCTTCCAGTATTTTCTGTTGGTCATGGTAGTCCTGTGTGCCAAGTTTGGTTCAATTCCATTGTTGGTGGAGTTCAGAATGTTCTTTGATTGTAGGTTACCTACAAATCCCAGCAACTGCAACTCCCAAATGACAAAACCAATCCCACCCCCAACCCCACCAGTATTCAAATTTGGGCGTATTGGGTATTTGTGTCAAATTTGGTCCAGTGAATGAAAATACATCCTGCATATCAGATATTTACATTACAATTCATAATAGCAGCAAAATTACAGTTATGAAGTAGCAACAAAAATAATTTTATGTTTGGGGGGACACCACAACATGAGGAACCACAACATTAATGGCCATGGCATTTGGAAGGTTGAGAACCACTTGCTTAGAGGGGCTGACAGAATGGAGTGAAAAGCCTTTTGATTTCACCTGTGTCATACCTGTCCCCTGGAGGAAGATAAAAGGTGCAGGTGAGTGGTTAGTAGGTGGCAGAATTGGCTTTGGGAGAGTCAGAAGGGTGGCATAAGCAGACAGAGCAGGGGTCCTCAAACTATTTAAACAGAGGGCCAGGTCACTGTCCCTCAAACTGTTGGAGGGCCGGATTATAATTTGAAAAAAGTATGAATGAATTCCTATGTACACTGCACATATCTTATTTGTAGTGCAAAAAAAACCCACTTAAAAACAATACAATAATTAAAATGAAGAACAATTATAACAAATATAAACTTATTAGTATTTCAATGGGAAGTGTGGACCTGCTTTTGGCTGATGAGATAGGATTGTTATTGTTGTTGTGTGCTTTCAAGTTGTTTCAGACTTAGGTTGACCCGGAGCGAGGGCCGGGTAAATGACCTTGGAGGGCCGTATCCAGGTCCCGGGCCTTAGTTTGAGGACCCCTGAGATAGAGGATGGAGATTTTCCTCTTCTGTACATGCAAATTTTGATCAACGTAGGGGGAAAAAAGTGAATTAAGAGGTTCCCCTCCCATTTAGAGAAGAGCCATCTGAATGCAATTGCTATAAATCCAAGTTTGACTTGGAAATCTCCCATGTCGCTCTAGTTATTTACTAGATAGAATTATATGTTGCTATGAGTCATATGTTCATGAAAGTTCCTGCATTGATGGGCAGGGCTTTACCTTCCTAGCAAATGGCAGCAGATCAAAGAACTAGAAAAGTGACCTGAATTCCTTATAACACTTTTACAATTGTTTATATTCATCAGAAGGTATCAAGAGTAATTTTCAGCTTGCCAAATAATCGAATAAAAGAATAGCATTGCAAGTGATTCATGCTGTTATTATCTAGGTGTTATACACTGAGCTGCACTTGAAAATAGTATGGAAGTTCTTGTTTGTGCAGAAATGGCAACTGGAGCTGTGCTTGTTTCATCTTGATGGAGATTGATTACATTAATTCAAAATAAATTATAATGAGTCTTTGCTATAGGAAGCTAAATTCAAGGTGCTGTTTTCACTTTTGAGTGCTAAGTGGCATATAGTCCAGACATCCAAACAAAAATCTCTTCGGGTTGCTGTGAGCTTTCTGGGCTGTATGGTTTTGTTCCAGAAGCATTTTCTCCTGATGTTCTGCCCACATCTATGGCAGGCATCCTCAGAGGTTATGTTGGAAATCAGGCAAGTGGGGTTTCTACATCTGTGGAATATCCAGGGTGGGAGAAAGAACAGTTGTCTGTTTGAGGCAAGTGAAATGTTGCAATTGGTCACCTTGATTAGCACTGAATAGCCTTGCAGCTTCAAAGCCTGGCTGTTTCCTGCCTGGTGGATCCTTTGTTGGGAGGTGTAGGCTGGCCCTGATTCATGGCTGGAATTCCCCTGTTTTCTGAGTGTTATTCTTTATTTACTATTCTGGCTTTAGTGTTTTTTTTAAAAAATCCTGGTAGCCAGATTTTGTTCATTTTCATGGTTTCCTCCTTTCTGTTGAAATTATCCACATGCTTGTGATTTTCAATGGCTTCTCTGTGTACGGTCTGACAGGTGGCTGTGAGAGTGGTCCAGCATTTCTGTGTTCCCAAATAATATGCTGTGTCCAGGTTGGTCCATTAGGTCCTCTGCTATTGCTGACTTCTTTGGCTGAGTTAGTCTACAGTTCCTTTCATGTTCCTTGGTTCGTGTTGGGACAATGCTGTGTTTAGTGGTCCCTATGTAGTCAAGTCCACAGCTGCATGGCATACAGCAGACTCCTGCGGAGGTGAGAAGATCCCTCTTGTCCTATGCTGAACCTAGCATTTGTTGGATTTTCTTAGTGAGTCTGTAGATAGTTTGTAGGTTGTGTTTTTTCATCAGCTTCCTTATGTGGTCGGTGGTTCCCTTGATGTATGGGAAGAATACTTTTCCTCTGGGTGGATCTTTGTCTTTACTCTCATGGCTTGTTCTTGGTCTTGCAGCTCTTTTGGTGTCTGTGGTGGAGTATCCATTGGCCTGTAGAGCCCAGTTGAGGTGGTTCAGTTCATCTTGGAGGTGGTGGTGTTCGCAGATTCTTTTTGTGCAGTCTGCCAGAGCTTTAATTGTACTTTTTTGACTTGGATGATGGTTGAAGATTTTATGTTGGTATCTATTTATGTGTGTAGATTTTCCGTACACTGTGTGGCCCATCTGTTGATTGGGTGTGCAGATGACTAGGACATTTAGAAATGGATGACTAGGAAATCTAGAAATGGGGGAAGAGATGAAAATCTCTTCCCCCATGATTCTGTATGTGCATTAAAGACTTCTCCAAGAAGCATTACTGCACTATGTATTTACAAAGAAATAAAAGCCTAAACTGTTGTTTTTCCCTGGATGAAGTCCCAAGAGAGAGATTAATAGTGGTCAGTTTCTGTTCTGTGGTAAATTAAAACATTTTCTATTACCCCAGGGACTTTCATATTTATATTACATATTAATGGATTTTTGTGCATTTTGTTGGTTTACTGTTTCAAGGGTTAGTGATCATTCCAATATGTATTTTTCCATACTGAAATGTGATCTCTTGATAATAGAGCGATATATAGAATTTAATATATATTGAATCTTTTCCCCTCATGCTCTCTCCCCCCTTCCCTCTCTTTATAGTGTGTGTGTGTGTGTGTGTGTGTGTACACACACACACACACACACACACACACACAGAGGGTAAATATATATACCTGGCTCCAATGCAGTATATTCTGAGCAGATGTTCCAGCGGGTGAATGAGCCACATACACATTTATTCGACTCTAGAAGAAAAAAAAAGGAAAAAAAATCATTTCTTTACAACAAAACATATTTCTCAGTATGAATAATATTTTATTAACATTTATACCCCTCCTTTTTTACAGTTTGGGGCTCAAGATGGCATACAAATGTAAAACAAACCTAATTAAAATTTGATATATATAAAAATTTAAACAAACAATTATGTTATCCAGAAAAATTACAATTAAAACTAAGTAAAACCTAACAAAGGACTTGAAGATACACAACAACAACAACAAGGTACTAGGAACCCCAGATTTGTCCCTAAGTGTTAGGCTAAATCTGGCATTTCTAGTGTGTTGTTGTTGTTGCTGTTGCTGTTGTTTACTTCAAGTTCATTGCTGAGTTTTATTGACAATACTTCTTCAGAGAGGGTTTTCCTTTGCCTTCCCTGGAGCATGTGAGAATGTGACTGGCTCAAACCCTCCTTATAACAAAATCATTCATTTTTAGTCCCTATTTTAGACTCTATTAATGCCAGATTCATTCAGTCTGTTGCATCCATCTTGACTAAGTCTAAATTGCACATTATTTTTACTTTGTGGTTAACAATCTTACAACCACATACAACGGTGTGTCTTTTGACAATATGGCTGCTTCCTGTACAATTTTATAATGGAGCGTGCTGGCTCTTATCTCATGACATTGAATTACTTCTAGCGGGGCTCTGTTATAAAACTGTAGAGGAAGTGGCACATGCCACTGCCACCACAGCACAAGAGGTGTCCCATGTTCAATGGAGATCAACAGGGGGAAGCCAAGTGTCCAATGCTTCCCTCCATGGGATGAGGCAAGAAATGAGTTGGGTGATGCAGGGCATGGGGTGACGGGTTCCCCACACCACACGCTGAGCATCACCAGAAGAGGTCCTATACTAAGGTTGTTTTTAGGGACACATGAACTTTCAGTACTCCCAGTTTAACATAAAGGCCAACACATTTCCCTCTAAGGGACACATTTCTAGGGAACTTTGGAGACGCAGTGTAGTGGTTTGAATTGCCACGTCGACATGAAAATCCATTGTGTGACCTTGGGCAAGTCACATTCTCTTAGTCTCAGATGAAGTCAATAGCAAACCTTCTCTGAACAAATCTTAGGGTTGCCATAAGTTGGAAATAACTCGAAAGCATGCACCAACAAAAACTAGTGGCCCCTGGTTGTTTACAAATTATAAACAAGAAGTGAACTGCATTTTAACTTCGTCTTCATTTCCTGTTTAGATAAAGATTTCCCATGTGCCTAAAATTGAGAACATTTGGGGAGAGGGAACAAAAGACTCTGCAAAGTCCTCAGAGCAGTAGGCAGTGCAGTTCCCAGATCCTTGGCAGTTCCATGCTCCTGGGAAATAAAATTCATTTTCTTCATGTTTTCAGCTGCAAAAATGCAATAGAGACAGAAGAAGTATAGTGTGAACAAAAAAGGGATGAAGGTTGTCCTTCAGAAAAAAGGAAGTGAACAGTATAAAGACTTATTACTGTGAAAAGACAATGCATTTGTCATCAAGAGAACTGTGTGGTCGCTTCTGGGCCCACAGAAAAATTGGGCGACTTGGAAGGCACCACGACTCTGGCACCACGAGATGCAGAGCCAATCTTAAGAAATGGGGCTACAAAGTGGAATCCACGACATGCGAGTGTGGAGAAGACCAAACCACTGACCACCTGCTGCAATGCAACCTGAGCCCTGCCACATGCACAATGGAGGACCTCCTTGCGGCAACACCAGAGGCATCCAAGTGGCCAGATACTGGTCAAAGGACATTTAATCAACTTTGTGTTTTGCCTGTTTGTTTGTTTGTTTTGTTAAAAATGTAATACAAATGTCTGGTTGCTCCTGACACGATAAATAAAAATAAATCAAGAGAACTATTCAAGAATTCACTTTTTAACATAAAAAATTCTTAGAAATTAAGAAAATAATTTTTAAGAGGGATGAGATATTACATTTTGTTTTGATGCCAAATCCCTTGATGCTGTACAGTGTCTTGCTTTGAATAACTTAGAATGATGCTCCTTCTGCACTGGCCAGTTTGTTTCGGTTCGGTTGTGTTTGCTGTCATATAATACCAAACAGGACCAATGGTGGTAATATTAATTGCAAAAAAAATCCTATTATGCTTCTTTAGAGGAAATGAAACAATCTGATATTCAATTCTCCTTCCTGTTCTGTATTGGACACACACACACACACACAAAACAACTCTCCTCCTGAACTATATCAATTCCTTTGTTTATGTTACTGAGTACCATCCATTATCCCTTATCCAATAGGGTTGAGTATCTGTATTTTGATTTTTAAATAAGATTTTGGAATACTTGCATACATAATGAAGTATCTTAGGAGACCCAAGCACAAAAATTATGTACATTTTATTTAACTGTTTTAATTAATTATTTAATGATTTAATGGTATTGTTGAATGTTTATAATTGTGACAGCACCTAATGGTGCTTGCTGTGAGGCCATCCTGAGTCCCCCCCCCCTCGGGGGTGAGAAGGGCGGGTTACAAATACAGGAAATAAATAAATAAATAAATAAATAATAGATTAAAACAATAAGTCAAAATTGAACAGAGCACTTACCATATTCATATTTTCTGTATTGTATCCACTGAGAAGGAAGAAAATATTTCCACAAATCCCTGGAAAGAGTCCCCAGCCACATAATGTGGTAAGAATACTTTTGAATATTGGATTCCGAGGAAAGAAGTCTCTTTTGCCAAGCATAACCTATAATATAAAAAGAAGACTGTCATAATTTGAAATTGCCCTTGTTTGTTCAAGTCTTTTCCAGCTTCCCTGCTACAATTACAGATAAAAATTAGGGCACATGTCTCCAAATAACACCAGAGTGTGGTCAAGGTAACAACATTTATTGATGAAGAACATCTCTGATCAACCCGGGAGAGCATCTCCCCTCCCCCCAAATTGTGCGATTTCAGTCCACTGTGTGGCCTAAATCCCAAGAGGTACTGAGATTTTAAATTCTGGTTCCTTTCAATATTCAGCCCTGTACAGAAGTGATTATAATAATATGATTATAACTGTATTTATGTTTGCATTGATTGCCCTAAGGCTGGAGCGGCCTAGCTGTGAGGAGTGTGTTACCATGGAAACGATGCTGCAGAGGAGTGGGAGGAGCTTAGAGAAGAGTGTTTTTGAAAAGCGACAGTTAAGAGTCAGTCAGGTTGGAGACTCTGAGAAGGGAAGAGTCAGGTTGGAGACTCTGAGAAGGGAAGAGTCAGGTTGGAGACTCTGAGTCAGGAGAGAGACAGTGTTCGTGAATAGTCAGAGATTTCTTCAGTTAGGAAAGCTGAAGAGGAAAACCTTATTAGTTTCTTTAGTTAGAAAGAACTAACAAAGGCTTGTTTAGATCCCTAGTTAAAAGAACTAGAGATCTGGTGTTTGATCATAGAAGAATCAAACGGGGAGACTATTCACCACAGTAAAACATTGTTTATTGAAGTGCTTCACCACAGCAAGAGTTTCATAAGTTGTAACATCGAAAGTCTGAACTGTATCACAACCAAGTTACATGTATCGTTCTCTAAGTATTTGCCAAGCTTAACATCAAACTGCAACCATACGCTTTGTTTCAAATAAACTTGTTCTCTTTGGTTTTTGAAACTGCCTCACCTCCATTTATTCTACGCTCGGTGTACCCAATCTCTCATAATTACCTCACAACACAAATAGGGTGGCATCCAGTGATATAAATACAAGAGCCTTTTACAATTTGGTGCCGGCTTGTAGTGGACTCCTTTGCAAGCCCTTTCTGAAAAAGGATGCAAAAGTTGTGCAATCCCATCTTCTTGCTCCACAGAGAACAGTGGAAACAGGATGGCAGCACTAGCCAATGTGAACAGCTGAGGCAATTTGAATTTAACACCAAGCTGTTGGCACCAATCACAAAGAGTGGGACTGTTTGGAGTTTCAGGGAAGTTCTAGAGCAGGCGTCCTCAAACTAAGACCCGGGGGCCGGATACGGCCCTCCAAGGTCATTTACCCGGCCCTCGCTCAGGGTCAACCTAAGTCTGAAATGACTTGAAAGCATACAACAACAACAACAACAACAACAGCAATCCTATCTCATCAGTCAAAAGCAGGCCCACACTTACCATTGAAATACTAATAAATTTATATTTGTTAAAATTGTTCTTCATTTTAATTATTGTATTGTTTTTAAGTGTTTTTCCCACTACAAATAAGATGTGTGCATAGGAAATCATTCTTTTTTTTCCCCCTTCAAATTATAGTCCAGCCTTCCAACAGTTTGAGGGACTGTGACCTGGCCCTCTGTTCAAAAAGTTTGAGGACCTCTGTTCTAGAGCATTCCTTGACTTCTGCTAATGCAAGATAAAATTTAGTTAATTGATTTTACCCTGTGATATGTGGATGGATAAATGAAATTGTATGTTTGGGGTATAATGAGGGGCTATTAAGGTTTGCCAAGACTGAAGATACCATCCTAAGAAGATTCAGGGTCTACCTTCAAGGTGCTAGTACAAATGCAGTGTAACAGCAAGAAAAACAGTTCTACCTATAGCTTTCTTCTAAAGTTTAAGGGACTTCCAGATAAAATTGCTTACGTTGACAGCTGTCATCTCTGAACAACAGTTATACCAATACATGTGTGATTTCTGGAAAATCAGGGGAAAGATGTGACTTAGAGAATCATCTTGTCCCTGCACTTCAATTAAGACAAATACCAATTATTCTTGAGAGTTGTGCATGAGATTATAAATATTACCATTGCAGTCCTATTAACCGTCCTGAGTTGCCCCTGGATTGAGAAAGACGGTATATAAATGTCGTAAATAAATAAATAAATAAATAAATATTCATGCCTACCCTGAAGTTCAGGGGGATTTCCACAGAAAAATGTCACGTATAATGGTGACCTTGAGTATATATAGTATGAAAAAACCCTAATGACATTGGGAAAATAATCCAAATTTGTGGGATATAGAAACAATACATACCCTGAGTGAGCTTACTGGAAGACTTAAGAATATTGTTGCAGGACTTCTGGCATATTTAATTCTAGTCACAGGAGCTAAGGCAAAAAACATTTTCACCTTTTGAGCTAACTCTGGCATTGTTGAAAAAGCTATGAATCCTGAGAGAAAAAGTCAAAGACACAAAAGAAAAATCAATAAAGGTCACAAGTGCCTTGTGTCCCACCAAATTTCAACTTATATAGCAAAATTATAAAAATTAAATATCGGCCTCAAACAAAAATATATGTATTATACTGGGAAATACCTTTTTTTTCACCTCCATCATATGTTTTTTTCCCTCTCATTTTTCTTAGATATGTATGCTGTCTCACATAGATACATACCACTCTCATCACAGAAACAACAGACTGTCCAGAAGCTTCAAATGGTCCAATGGATGGCACCCATATTGCTAACACGGAATAACAGATGATGAGATTGGATTCTGATTCTATTGATGAGACGCGAATGATTTGTCATATTGATGTTTAATTGTTGTTATGCTATTGTTCTTAAATGTTCTAATGGTTTTGTAATGTGGGCATTGAAATTGCTGGTGTTAACCGCTTTGAGCCACCTAAGGGCTGAGAAAAGCGGTATATAAATGAAGTAAATAAATAATAAATAAATAAATAACAGGAGCGGCGCTGAGGGAGCATACAACTCCTCTGCTGCGCCAGCTCCACTGGCTGCCAGTTTGCTACCGGGCACAATTCAAAGTGCTGGCTTTAGCCCATAAAGCCCTAAATGGTTTTGGCCCAACTTACCTGTCTGAACACATCTCCCCTTATGAACCATCTAAGACCTTAAGATTGTCTGGGGAGGCCCTGCTCTCATTACCATCTTCATCACAAGTACATTTGGTGGGGACGGGAGACAGGGCCTTCTTGGTGGTGGCCTCTCAGCTGTGGAACGCCCTCCCTATAGATATTAGATCGGCCACCTCCCTTTTAACATTCTGGAAAAAAAGTCTAGATGTGGCTTTTTGAGCAAGTGTTTACAAATGCAGAGTAACTGACATAGGAAAATGGAACGACTATGGGACCGGACAATGTTTTTAACAAGGAGATACTGATGATTTATGTTTTATTGATTCATATTTTATTGATTTTGTTTTGGTTTTTATTATATGTTAATGTTTTTAATTGTATTTATGGTAAACCGCTTTGAGTCGCCTGCGGGCTGAAAAAGGTGGTATATACAAATACAGTAAATAAATAAAGGATATTTTTCAACTCCTTGCAAAATTGCTTTAATTTGGTCATCTTTAACCATATTTTCAAGATAATAGCTTTCCTTTCAAAAAATTTCTTGTACCTGGAGCACTGCTATCACCAGTGCCCATGGCACATGTTTTCCAAGACTTCTTTTTAGCTGTTGATACTGACATGTTTGTAAAAGCCACCAGAAAATATGTTTTAATGCAATAGATAATTTGGGGGAGAGTGGCTGTGTGGTGATCTGAATGTCTAGATGCCTAAAATGGATTTTGAACCACCAGTCTCAATGGCCTCCCTTCATCCACAAAGGCCCATCCAGACAGGTCCTTTCCATGACAGTTTGAGGCTGGTAGGAGGCACTGATGGGAGATTGTGATTGGATCTACACTGCCCTATATCCCAGTATCTGATCCCAGGTTTTCTGTTAATCCCAGATTGTCTGGCAGTGTGGACTCATAATCCAGTTTAAAGCAGAAAACCTGGGATCAGATCCTGGGATATAGGGCCTATCTGGAAGGGGCCTGAGAAATCTGGCAGAAATGACTGCAATGCAGATTGTAAAAATCTGCCTTTCAAAGTCCTGGGGTTCTGGCATCCATTTGGGATTTTATGTTTAAAAAAAAGGTGCAGAGATAGCTACCACCTGTGAAATTCTACCTACTAGAATTCTGGGTATTATAAGTACTTCAAAAGGAACTGTTTGTTTGTGTGTGTTTACAAACAAATACAAATGAATGTGTGGTGCCCCCCTGAATACAATTCAGGAGACTCATTGTAATGGGCAGTTTGGCAAAAGCTGGGTAACCCAAAGGATTAAGACAATTGAACATCCCCCTTTGGATATTTCCTCTTTGGAGCCATGTGAACCATAACAGTGTGCACTTTTGTGATGTTTGTAATGAGATAAGATATGCTATGGAAAGACACCAAAGGTGAAGGAGATAGTAAAATAGTCAGATTTTGTGCTAGATCAAACCTGGATGCTATGGTGGAAAGCTTCTCGTCTCTGGACTTTTTGGTGAATCTGTTCTCAATTTTTCAAGTATTTATTCCTCCTCCTGCTCTTGATTCTTTGGACTGGTGTTTAACTTTTTGTTTTACATAAACAACTTCCCTCCCTTCTATGTGTGTTTGTGTTGTTTTGCTGTTTTGTGTTACATATGTATGTGTATGTGTTGGTATATCTATAGTGTATATCAGGGGTCCTCAAACTAAGGCCTCCAAGGTCATTTACCCGGACCTCACTCAGGGTCAACCTAAGTCTGAAATGACTTGAAAGCACACAACAACAACAACAACAACAACAACAACAACAACAACAACAACAATCCTATCTCATCAGCCAAAAGCAGGTCCACACTTCCCTAAAAAGGTTATATTTGTTAAAATTGTTCTTCATTTTAACTGTTTTATTTTTTGCAATACAAATAAGATATGTGCAGTGTGCATAGGAATTCATTCGTGTTTTTTCCCCCAAATTATAATCCAGCCCTCCAAGCACACAATAAGACCTGGCCCTTTGTTTAAAAAGTTTGAGGACCCCTGGTGTATCAATATATCAAACTTTGGTCTTCCAGACTCCTTGATCAGCAAAAACAGCTGAGGCTTCTGGGAGTAAAAGTCCAGAACACCTGGAAGATCAGAGTTTGGAAACCAGTGGTGTACGTTGTTTAGTTTTCATATTGTTAATGCCTTTGATATATAATTTGAAGATTACATTTATCAAATGAGTTGTTACTAAAATGCAGATTCAGTTACAGAAGTTGATTTCAACCATGACAAATGTATGGAAAAGAGAGGAACTAAAATCCAGTCTGATAAGATTTGGCTTTTGGTGAAGACTTCTCGCACAGAGCTTGTGCAGCTCTGCTATTAACATAAAGCTCAGGCTCCTGTCAATGAATGTGCAAGATTCAGGAGGACTTAAGTCTTCTCTATGTGAGTACTCAAAACCAGCCACATAATTACAAAACCTTCCATTTGCCAACGGAAGGACTTTCTGCAGATGACTATGAACCAAATTATGTAGATAAACATCCTTTCACTGTAGATATCATTATCTTATAAACTACTGAAAGATGGAAGTGAAGACAGGCCCTATATCTCAGGATCTATTCCCAGGTTTTCTGTTTATCCCAGATTATCTGGCAGTGTGGACTCATATAATCCAGTTTAAAGCAAAAAATCTGGGATCAGATACTGGGATATAAGGCCTGTCTGGAAGGATCTCGAGTCTGTAAATGTGTGTCCTGGTACAGGCATGTAGCCGGGGGGGGGGGGGGGGGGGGGTTGGGGGGCTTCAGCCCCCCCCAAATTCTCATGGTGACCATGTGCTCCTGCAATTTGAAGTACAAAGGAAGGCCGAAACTAAGACAAGTCAAACCCGCATTTTGGACTTTAGGAGAGCTGATTTCCAAAAAATGAAGGAAACGCTGAGCAGCATTCTGTGGACACAGAGACTAAAAGACAAGGGAGTTACGGATGGATGGGAATTTCTCAAGAGTGAAATACTCAAGGCGCAATTGCAAACCGTGCCAACAAAGAGAAAAAATAGGACAAGTGCAAAGAAGCCAGAATGGATGTCCAAAGAACTTCTAACTGTGCTAAGACACAAAAGAGACATGCACAAGAAGTGGAAAAAGGGAGAAATCACCAAAGAAGAAATCAAACAAATAGCCAACACCTGTAGGGAAAAGGTCCGCAAGGCTAAAGCAAAAAACGAGCTCAGGCTTGCCAGGGACATTAAAAACAATAAAAAGGGCTTCTATTCTTATGTCAGTAGAAAAAGGAAAAACAAGGAGGCGATAGGACCTCTTCGAGGAGAAGATGGGGCAATGCTGACAGGGATAGGGAAAAGGCAGAACTACTTAATGCCTTCTTTGCCTCGGTCTTCTCACAAAAAGAGAGTCTTCAACCTCAGCAAGATGGAGTGGATGAGGGATTGGAGGACATCCAACCCCAAATTGGGAAAGAAGTCGTCCAGGAATACCTGGCGCTCTTAATGAGTTCAAGTCCCCAGGGCCAGATCAACTACACCCCAGAGTATTGAAGGAACTAGCGGAATTCATTTCGGAACCATTGGCAACCATCTTTGAGAGTTCTTGGAGAACGGGAGAAGTTTCCAGCAGATTGGAGGAGGGCCAATGTGGTCCCAATCTTCAAGAAGGGAAAAAAGGATGACCCAAACAACTACCGTCCGGTCAGCCTCACGTCGATACCAGGCAAGATTCTGGAAAAGATTGTTAAGGAAGTGGTCTGCAAACACTTAGAAACAAATGCAGTCATCGCTAATAGTCAACATGGATTTATCAAAAACAAGTCATGCCAGACTAATCTGATCTCTTTCTTCGATAGAGCTACAAGCTGGGTAGATGCGGGAAATGCCGTGGATGTAGCATACCTGGATTTCAGTAAGGCCTTCGACAAGGTCCCCCATGACCTTCTGGCAAGGAAACTAGTCCAATGTGGGCTAGGCAAAACTACGGTGAGGTGGATCTGTAATTGGTTAAGTGGACGAACACAGAGAGTGCTCACTAATGCTTCCTCTTCATCTTGGAAAGAAGTGACAAGTGGAGTGCTGCAAGGTTCCGTCCTGGGCCCGGTCCTGTTCAACATCTTTATTAATGACTTAGATGAAGGGCTAGAAGGCATGATCATCAAGTTTGCAGACGACACCAAATTGGGAGGGATAGCCGATAGTCCAGAGGACAGGAGCAGAATTCAAAACGATCTTGACAGATTAGAGAGATGGGCCAAAACTAACAAAATGAAGTTCAACAGTGACAAATGCAAGATACTCCACTTTGGCAGAAAAAATGAAATGCAAAGATACAGAATGGGACGCCTGGTTTGAGAGCAGTACGTGTGAAAAAGATCTTGGAGTCCTCGTGGACAACAAGTTAAACATGAGCCAACAATGTGATGTGGCGGCAAAAAAAGCCAATGGGATTTTGGCCTGCATCAATAGGAGCATAGTGTCTAGATCTAAGGAAGTAATGCTACCCCTCTATTCTGCTTTGATTAGACCACATCTGGAATATTGTGTCCAATTCTGGGCACCACAATTCAAGAGAGATATTGACAAGCTGGAATGTGTCCAGAGGAGGGCGACTAAAATGATCAAGGGTCTGGGGAACAAGCCCTATGAGGAGTGGCTTAAGGAGCTGGGCATGTTTAGCCTGAAGAAGAGAAGGCTGAGAGGAGATATGATAGCCATGTATAAATATGTGAGAGGAAGCCACAGGGAGGAGGGAGCAAGCTTGTTTTCTGCTTCCCTGGAGACTAGGACGCGGAACAGTGGCTTCAAACTACAAGAGAGGAGATTCCATCTGAACATGAGGAAGAACTTCCTGACTGTGAGAGCCGTTCAGCTGTGGAACTCTCTGCCCCGGAGTGTGGTGGAGGCTCCTTCTTTGGAAGCTTTTAAGCAGAGGCTGGATGGCCATTTGTCAGGGGTGATTTGAATGCAATATTCCTGCTTCTTGGCAGGGGGTTGGACTGGATGGCCCATGAGGTCTCTTCCAACTCTTTGATTCTATGATTCTATGATTCTATGATTCTATGGTCTGCGAGAAGGCCTTACTGGTACATTATTTAAACTGTTATGTTTATCCATATCATGATCTGATCACCATGCTCAATATATCCCATATGCATGGGGGTATTGGGGTAACGATACAAAAGGTTTGCTAGGATAGACCCTCTTTCACTCAGACTCAGCCCCCCTGAACCAAACTCAGCCCCCCCCCCTCCCGAAACAAAATCCTGGCTACGGGCCTGTCCTGGTAAGTTTTCTGGTATAACCCATGTGTAACCAAACTCAGCTGCTTAATTAAAGCTTACTTGATGGCCATGTTTCAATTCAAACACTATTCATGTAGTTCTCTCTTATTTTGGCTCCCCTCTCAGTCCACATTTATAGTAATATAAAATGTATATTTTTGGGGGTGATTCCTGAATGAAAGTTATCCAGCTCTTAAGTCAAAACAGTCCATTACAATTGTATAGCATTGCTGAAAAAGTGCTTTGCATTTTCATCCTTGGCATCATTTAAAAATCCAACCTTCTATATTTAACATAATGTGGCTCACCAAAGTATTCGATTTACATTTTATTTGAAGTAACATACCTATTGCAGCGCCCTGGGAATACCCAACATAATATAGCTGCTGTTGTCCAGTTTTTTGTAGTATGAAGTTGATCATAGCTGGAAGATCATACTTTGCCATCTCATCAAAACTAGAGGAAAGGAACAAACCTATTCATAAGATCACAAAATCTACTTTCAGAACTAGCTTATTACGTATGTTGGTGACTAGTGTTATTGTCACTACAAATCAGGAATGAATTTATACTCCTTAAATAAAAGGGAGAGAAAACTTAACTGGTATTATGAAACATCAACATTTTTCAGCCTGTGCTAAATTGAAACAAATGAGAGAATGGATTGTGGTCCTTTAACCAACCAATTCTGCTGCCTGAGATAGTTTGTTAGATAAATACATTTTTAGATTGCACTGTTGCACTTGTAATATATTCAGGCTCTTAATTGTAATTGTCATCGCTGTAAATTACAATGATTACAAGTTAAATATACCTGAAAGCCCAAAATTCATCTTGAGATATAGACAGATTTTGGTGGCTTCTGGACCAGATGTTTCCTCTATTGTTTCCAAGCCAAACATCATAGCCAGCATCTGCCAGGATGAAGCCCAAACTATTGTGATCCAAATTCAAAATCCAGTTGCTTCCATCACCCATTAAACCATGCATTAGAAACACCACTGGTTTTGAAACTGGAGAAAAAACACAATGTTAGAAAACAGTTCATGACAGCAAGAGTTACTCAAAGGTTGAGCAAACTATGGGCAAATCCACACAGGATGGAAAAATTGCACCCTCCCTCAACCTGGGTGTCCAAACAATACCTCAAGTAAAAACGAATTCCTTTCGCATAAAGCAGCAAACTCCTGCTTTGTGCTGAAGTAATTTGACAGCTGGATAGACCTGGATCTTTCAGAAGACACGGGTCTTTCTGGCTGTGGGCGCTGTGTGGATTGGGCCTGGGGATCACATCACGTGACTTCCAGACCCAATCCACACAACTGTCTCAGTATTTTTGGGCTCCTGGATCCTGAAAAAGCCAAGACAGTCACCACCCCTACCAAAAGCCATAAAAAGAAAAAATAACTTACCCGGCCAGCATTTCTCTGCTGCTAGCCCTCTCCTGGCGCATAGAAATGATGTGCCAGGAGATCACTTCTGCTCCCCTTCTCCTAGTGTGTTATTTCTATGCACCAGGAAAGGGCCGGCAGTAGTAGTAGTAGTAGTAGTAGTAGTAGTAGTAGTAATTATTATTATTTATTTATATACCGCCCTATCTCCCCTAAGGGACTCAGAGCGGTTTCCACATATGCAAATTAATACATAAACATACAATAAAAAACAAAAACATGGGCATAAACTATTAATACAACTAATACATTAAAATCAATCAGTAAGGAAATGCCTGCCGGGTAAGTTTGTTTTAAGGCTTTTCGGGGGGGGGTGTTCTTTCGTGTCCAGGTGGACCCCCCCCCCTCCAGAAAAGCACAAGCTTTCTGGGGCATGTGTGGACTGTAATGCAGGCCCAATTGGTTTTTTTAACCCGTTTGGGTGCACATTAAACTCCTGTCTGGAACTGCCCTACCTTAGCAGATGATAATCCCACCATGCTAGGTGGTGTCATGATACTCAGATCCCTGCTCTGAATTGCTGTTGTCGTCTCCCTGTAAACGTGTGAGGATACGGCTAAATACTATAGGTAATCACATTTTCAAAATATGATTTCTTTCTTAACCAGCACAGGCCCTTAATCAGCACAGGTCCTTTTGGTGCTTTCCTTATGTGCAATTCCTTGAATTGTAAATGTCACAAGTAGCATTTGAATCTAAATCTTGTTGCATGAAACACGATTCCCCCAACAGATAAGGAGAAAAGTAATACCTTCCCATCAGCCTTTAATGAATGTGATTTTGGCAACGAAACTAATTGCATTGTTTTATTACATCTACCTACGCTTTAATTCACTTCGTATCATCTCTACTTTGCATCATGTTTCATCACAGATGAAAAATACCTGTATTCCCTTGATTCTTAATACCAAATGGTATTCTGTTAATAGTAAGTATATATCCATCTTCAGTCACCACTTTATGTTCCTCACTGGGATAGCCTTTGTGTGTAATAAGCTCATGCTGCAAGAGAGAGAGAGAGAGAGAGAGAATATGGTTGTTTTCTTTGAAGGGTTCTGCTTACAATATGTGGCAATCAAATGTGTTTGCAAAATAATATGGATTAGTGACCAACAGTATAATATATTTTTAGGGAATTGTCAGTACATTTGTGTAAGAAGATCTCTTGTGTATGTTGCAATAAATATGTGGTAATAACTATTGCATCTTGAATATTTAATTACACCGTAAACTTCAGTTCACTATTCTGTTTCAGAGTTCACTTTTTCCTGTGGACACTAAAATACTGAGTACAATTGCATCATGTCATGCATTTTTTTTTAGTTGAATATGGAGTCGACAATAAATGAAGTCACAGGTTCGCAGTTTGGGTGTCCTCCTGGATTCATCACTTACGCTTGAGGCTCAGGTGTCGGCGGTGGCCGGGAGGGCTTTTGCACAATTGAGACTCGTGTGCCAACTGCGACCATACCTCGTAAAGGCTGATCTGGCCAGGGTGGTCCATGCCTTGGTCACCTCCAGATTGGACTACTGTAATGCGCTCTACGTGGGGCTGCCCTTGAAAACGGCTCGGAAATTCCAAGTGGTCCAACGGTCGGCGGCCAGGTTGTTAACTGGTACTCCTTACAGAGAGAGGTCAACCCTCCTGTTTAAGGAGCTCCATTGGCTGCCGTCATCTTCCGGTCCTAATTCAAGGTGCAGGTGCTCACCTACAAAGCCCTAAACGGTTTGGGACCCGCCTACCTGCATGACCGCATCTCCATATATGAACCCACACAATTTGTTCGATCATCTGGAGAGGCCCTGCTTACGATCCCACCTGCGTTGCAAGTGCGTTTGGGGTGGACGAGGGACAGGGCCTTCTCTGTGGTGGCCCCCCGACTCTGGAACTCTCTCCCCAAGGACATCAGACAAGCCCCAACGTTGGCAGTTTTTAGGAAGAGCCTGAAGACCTGGCTGTTCCAGTGTGCCTTCCCAGAATAGGAAACTCCTAGCATCATGTCCCAAACGCACTTTGTTAGAAATTTAGTATTGTCTGCACATTGCACCTACCTCCAAAAACCTCTACATTTCACCTGTCATGTCCTGCACTTTTTAAATTTTGTCCATTACATTTGGCCTGGCCTTAGGTTTTAAATGCGCCATGTTGTCATTGTTTTAGTGTTTTTATTGTTTTGCTTGATGTTTTATTATTTGCTTTATGAGTTTTACTGTTGTATTTGTATGCTGTTGTTTCATTTGTGGCCTTGGCCTCTGTAAGCCGCATCGAGTCCTTCGGGAGATTTTAGTGGGGTATAAATAAAGATAATAATAACAATAATAATAATAATAATAATAATAATAATAATAATAATAATAATAATTTTATCCCAGTTCATAGATTACTTCAATGTAAGGAAGCATTTGGCTTAGGAGAGAAAAAATGGTGTTGGGAATCCTAATATTTGCTCTACGTTGCTTATACTGTGCATAACAAGTATAGATGGAAAAACAATGGAAGCAAGAGGGACTTATCTTCAGAGAATAGTGCAAAAGTAAAGGAAAGTCATATTTGCCATAACTCTATTGCATAGCTACTTGAAGCTACACAACATCTGGTTAGCTAGGGCCTCTGTTTCCAAACTCTGGTGGCGCCTCTGTTTCCAAACTGTATGAAAGATCTTTTGAGAGAGTTGTGACTTAGGCAAAAGTTTATATTGTGTAGAGAAAAGAGCCAAGGCTGCATCTGTCAAGAAAACAAGTTCTGAGTATCAGGAGAAACTCTTAACCAATGTCAAGAAAGAATGGGATTTTATTTATAATATTTTTACATCAAGGACAAAATTCTAGTATTGGTTTTTTTCACTTAGAAGAATGCTATTAAAAGGTAGATGGGTGGTGCTATAGAGACAGTTCAAGGGAACAGCAAATTGAGAAGTAAAACTCAATAGCCAGAGGGTGTGAGACTCATAGATTAATTTTTATTGTTCTATATGTAAGATGTTGAGCCCCCCGTGGTACAGTGGGTTAAACCGCTGAGCTGCAGCTGCTGAATTTGTTGACCAAAAGGTCAGCGGTTCAAATCTGGGGAGCAGGATGAGCTCCTGCTGTTAGCTCCAGCTTCTGGCAACTTAGCAGTTCAAAAACATGCAAATGTGAGTAGATCAATAGGTACCACTTCTGCGGGAAGGTAACAGCACTCCGTGCAGTCATGGAGTCCACATGACCTTGGAGGTGTCTACGGACAATGCTGGCTCTTTGACTTAGAAATGAAGATGAGCACCAACCTCTATAGTCAGACACGACTGGACTTAATGTCAGGGGAAAACCTTTACCTATGTAAGATGTGGTTAGTAGGGTTGTGTGGAGTGGTTAGAACAAGTGTTAGATTGAGTTTATTAGTAGCTTACAATTATGTTTTGTATTTTTTAAAAAAAACTGTTGTATTTTTGGAAGGGAGATGTGGTCTTTTTTGCTTTGTGAATTCTGTCTTTCTGTACATGTCTTTGTTTGATTGTAGGTTTGTTTTCCTGAATAAAAAATATTTGTTTTTCTGAATAAAAAAATATTTATATAAAAAAAGAAAGTCTTGAAAATCCTTATAGTGTTCTTCAATTCATAGTTTCTTTTATACGGCAGATAAAGGTGGGACATAATGGTATTACAAAACATAATAATAATAATAATAATAATAATAATCCACTACAACAGCCAGCAGAGTGTCTGCTGTGGACTCATCTTGTTGTGTTTCTAATAATAATAATAATAATAATAATAATAATAATAATAATTTCATTTTTATGCCCCACCTTCATCTCCCTGAAGGGAGTTGAGGTGGCTTACACATGGGACAAAATGTCCACAAAACATCAATGCAAAACAATCAATTAAAACAAAAAACACAATTAAAATAAAACATAGCAAAATATAACAATCAGATAAAAACACAATTAAATACCACATAAGAGTATATAACTTTCCAGATTTTGTAGGATCATCATAAATGTAGTGGAAAGACATGAATTTCAAAGAAAACAAATATGAATAAAAGCAAGGGGATGAATTTGTCCTCTGGATTAGAGGGTTTTTACTGTTTTGAGATCTTTAAAAAATGTATGTTGTGTGAAAGTAAGGTTGCTAACAAACATTCCTCTGTGTCAGCATAAATACAACTATTGAGTAAAGTTATATCTTACTCCTGTATCTGCAATTCTCCATATGTTTCATCACACACACCCAGTGTCTATTAGTGCTATGTGTCATATTGCTAAGGCTCATGAAATTGATAGTTGGTATTTGGAATGGAAGATGTTTGACACAGAAGCAGTTTGGAAAAATACCTTTAAAAGAAATCAAGAGATGTCAATAGACACATTTTTAAATTACTGGAAACCTTTTATAACTTACATCAAAAAGAATAAGAATGTGAAGTTACTTGTTGGTTTGCATTTTTGTAAGAAATGAAGATAGAAATTGTGTGTGTGTGTGTATACATAAATGTAATGTTTGTTTGTGGTATTCACCAAACTCAAAAACCACTGGGGGAATTGACACCAAATGTGGACACAAGACACCTAACAACCCAATGTATATCCTTCACTCAAAAAAAACTTGATTTTGTCATTTGGGAGTTGTAGTTGCTAGGATTTATAGTTCACCTACAATCAAAGAGCTTTCTGAACTCCACCAATGATGGAATTGAACCAAATATGGCACACAGTTCTCCCATGACCAACAGAAAATAGTGGAAGGGTTTGGTGGGCAGTGTCCTTTGGTTTTGGAGTTGTAGTTCACCTACATCCAGAGAGCACTGTGGACTCAAACAATGATGGATCTGGACCAAACTCTACACAAATGCTCAATATATCCAAATGTAAACACTGGTGGAGTTTGGGGAAGATAGACTCTTGACATTTGGGAGTTGTAGTTGCTGGGATTTGTAGTTCACCTACAATCACAGAGCATTCTGAACCCCACCAATGATAGAATTGGGCCAAATCTTCCACACAGAACCCCCATGACAATCAGAGTGGGCCACAGCAATGCGTGGCAGGCGACGGCTAGTGTATATATATATATATATATATATATATATATATATATAATGGGACAACATATAATTATGCACATGACATGTCTGAGTGGGGATTTGGGAAGTTGATTTTAAATTTTCTTTTCCTTTTTAAAAATATATTTTTAGTTTTATGTAGGAGGGTGAATGAAGGGATTAGTTTAGAGAAAAAATTAAGGGAAAAATGTAAAAGTAGTGTCAGAACCTGGAAGATCTTTGGAATTAAGACAAGCTCACAATGATGATCACTGGAAACAAAGTCTTTATTTTCACTTTTTGCCAGAGTCAGAGAAAGTCAGTTCTAAATTGTCCCCACCCATACCCTTGTATATACTAGTTTACCCATTCATTTCTATGGAAACCACCATCTGCTATCAGATGATTACCATTGGTTTTGATGAAGCCCTGAATGGCAACTTACAATGTTCATAAAGGCTTCTGGATCCACAGCTCTTTTTGTTCTCATTGCTTCTTTTGAATGAACAAGCCCTTGGACCAGGTACATCACAACAATCCATGGCCTCATCCTGTTCCTGAACAGTGTTGTACAGCCATCCATTAATAATAATGTTCTGTTCAATCCAATGAAATGGAAGTGACTGGTTAATAGGTGGCATTGAAGTAAGCAATTCTCAAGCTCCCTATTCAAAGCAAAAGGGATAGAATCCCCATTTGTAGGATTTGTACCTCCAATACATCTATTAGGGCTGGGCGGTTTCGTTTCGTAAATTCGTAATTCGTTTAAAATTCATAATTTTTTTTATAACGAAGCGATAACGAACCATTCTGGAGCAACTTAAAAACGAAACGAATTTTTAAATTCGTTTCGTAATTGTTTCGGATTCGTTATGTATTCGTTTCGTTATCGTTTTGAGGTCGTTTCGTTATTATTTCCACATGTCTGGGGCAAGTTTTAAAGTTGTTGTTTGTTTAATTAGTGAAAAAAAATATAATATCACACCAACAGTCATCAATAGAGGGAGAGGGAAGCTTCAGAAGTTCCCCCTGTCCCATTTGGAGGTTTTTTAGCGTATTGCGCGGTCGCGTCCGCCATTAACGAATCGATTGTTATTGTTTCGAAATTGTTTCGTTATTGTTTCGTAATTTTTTTAACATTTACGAAATTTTGTAAATATCGAACTTTTTAAAAGAAAAATTTCGGAATTCTTTTAAAAATCGAAACGCAAAAAACCCCTAAAAACGACTCGATTTTAGAAACAAATTTTTCCGTGGTTGCCCAGGCCTAACATCTATGTCAAGATCAATCAACTGAAATATATACATCTAAAATGCATGAGATTCTGAAATTGGTGTACGAGAATTTGGAGCATATAGTCATTTGCATACAATTCCACTTACTTAACATAAGCTTTCTATCTACATTTCAACAACCTTATTTCAGTGGGGAAAGTCACTGCGTTGTTGCTGCTGAGAGAATCTAAAATGTGTAATCTGTATTTACAGACAAACATGCATACATACGTGTAGAAAAATAGTATTTATGCTCAATTGCTGTGCAGCAAGGATAATGTTACTCTATCATTCCGCTAATATAAATCCTACTTTCATTCCTTTTCTCTCTCATCTTAATGAGGATTATAGGAGAAAGGAAGATAAAACATTGTTTCTGGAGTATGCGGCAGCAGTTTTTTTTAAAATAATTCTAACATTTTCACAATGATAAAGTCAACTGGGTTGTTGTAGGTTTTTTCGGGCTATATGGTCATGGTCTAGAGGCATTTTCTCCTGACGTTTCACCTTATATGCTAATTAAGGTGGTCAGTTGAAACATTCACACCTAGCTCCAGCAGACAAGAGTCCTTTGTCCCACCCTGGTCATTCCACAGATATATAAACCTTTTTTCCTAGTTCCAACAGACCTCACTACCTCTGAGGATGCTTGCCATAGATGCAGTCGAAACTTTTTTTTTGCACAGGATAACCCATCTGGCAAATTGGAAAAATATGCACAATCTCTTCTCACAGAGAATCATGGGCTTCCAAGGAAAATCCAACTATAGTTTGAGCATTTCTTATCTGGAATTCTGAAATACTGAAATATTTATTTATTTGTTTGTTTGTTTGTTTGTTTGTTTATTTGTTTATTTGCCACATTTATATACCGCCTCTCTCGGCCCAGAGGCGACTCAGAGCAGTTCACAACTGGAAAAAATTTGATACCTCAACAATTATAACAAGTAAAGCAACCATAAAATACTGTTAAAACATTAACATACAATATAGGACTATAAAAAACCATGCAAAGCCTTAAAAACATTATCATGAGCGTTTCCATGTCAAGTCATATTTCAGTTGTGGCGTCAAGTGGTTCCATGATTATTGAAAATATTGTATGAAATTGCCTTTAGGATATGTGTATAAGAAATATGTGAAACATAAATATATTTTCCATTTAGACTTGGGTCCCATCCGCACGATCCCTTATTATGAACATTTGCATATGTACAAATGCAAGTACTCCAAAATACAAAGAAAACACTTCTGGGCCCAAGATTTTGGATAATCTGTACGACTGAAACCATATGCCAACTTCACTTTCCCGAATGAGTATGCATTAGATGTTCATGTGAATGAGTTCCCAATGCACAAAGACACTCCCATAGATACTTTCTACATTTGAAATAGAACCCTTAATGCTGTGGTTCTCAACTTGTGGCTCCCAGCTTTTAGGATTTCTGGGAGTTGAAGGCCAACATATCTGGGGACACACAGGTTGAGATGTATAGAAGTGGTTCCTTCCTTCTTGAGCTCTGCATGTGTCCCTGTGTGCCTGCAGAGAATTCATGCTCAGGCCTGGTTGTTCATCCAGAGAGTGACTGGGGAGTCTATATGAACCAACTCACTAAAGGTTTCTCCTGTGGTAAAAACCTTTTAAATATAGGCAGTCCCTTACAAACATCCAACTTACAAATGACTCATAGTTACAAACAGGAATGAGACAATAGAAACTGAGAGGACCTCACTACCTCTGAGGATGCTTGCCACAGATGCAGGCGAAACGTCAGGAGAGAATACCTCTAGACCATGGCCATATAGCCCAAAAAAACCTACAACAACCCAGTGATTCCGGCCATGAAAGCCTTCGACAATATAAAGTCAACTGATTCTAACTGAAAAACAAGAATTGAATCACAGAATACATGTTAAATACATTTGTCTAATCTCCATGCAATCTAATGTATAATAAAGAACACTAACCTGATGCCCAATTCACTCCACTGAACAGGGTCAAATGCTGGGGATGAGGATGGAAACTTTCAGGTTTACTGTTCATACCAGGAAGATAAAATAAAGGTAACAGATAAGTGGACCAATCACATGTAGTTTTTCCTTGGAATTGTTAAATGCTGTAAGTTATTATTTATTCCGATGCCATCTCTTTGTTCATTCAGCCACCACTTCAGTTAGTAACATTGAAGGGTGTCATTGAAAGTTAGGCACTGAATGAATAGTCTTTGTACTCTCAAGGGTTGTTTAGGAGAAATTTCAAGCTTCTTTGCAGGGGCAAAGTGGATGGGTATGTACTGACGGGAAGGAATTTCAAGTGCAAATAACTTGACTCACCTGATAGTCTAAAGAAAAAATGTTGTTTTACTTTATTGGGTCTAGTATAGTGTATTGTGAAAGAAATCATGAATTATGAGTTTACATATTATAGCAGGGGTCTTCAAATGTTTTAAACAGAGGGCCAGGGCACAGTCCTTCAAACTGTTGGAGGACCGGATTATAATTTGAAAAAAAATTAATTCCTATGCTCACTGCACATATCTTATTTGTATTGCAAAAAACACGTTAAAACAATATGATAATTGATAATTACGATAATTGATAAATATGATAATTAAAATAAAGAACAATTTTAGCAAATATAAACTTATTAGTATTTCAATGGGAAGTGTGGACCTGCTTTTGGCTGATGAGATAGGATTCTTGTTGAGTGCTTTCAAGTCGTTTCAGACTTAGGTTGATCCTGAGTGAGGGCCGGGTAAATGACTTTGGTGGGCTGTATCCGGCCCGCGGGCCTTAGTTTGAGGACCCCTGTATTATACCATTATAGTCAGAGGTTTGGGTTCATTGCTATCTAGGGGCTGCCCAGACAAGGAAATCCTCTACGTGGATATCCTCTTACAAGGGACTGGAAGCTCCACTCAGTAGTATCTTTACAGAAAGTAAGGGATCTTATGCCCTTAGGAGAAGTCTGCTTTACAGCAAGAAATACTCTACTTTTGTGACTGGTGTAAAAATCACTGTATAAATAACAGTTTTTTGTTCCTTATATATCGCTCAATGCTGTATTATATAAGTTGGGTATATGTTTAATATTGTATTATATAAGCTGCAAAAAATCATTTACCTCTGTGATTTATGTACTATGACTTGTAGTGGATTTCTGTTTTTTTGCGATTTTGAGAATCCATTGTCTTTTGTGTTAATCCTAGCATGCTGCCAGGATGCTTCTTCTACAGTGCCCTGCCGGAAGTTGCCTTTGATGGCGTCTGGCAGATTCCGTGGAGGAGGCATCCTGTTAACATACTAGAATGCTTTAGGCCTGGGTAACAACGGAAAAATTTGTTTCTAAACTCGTTTTGTTTTAGGGGGTCCATTGCGTTTCGTTTTTTAAAAGAATTCCGAATTTTTCTTTAATTTTTTTTCGTTATTTACGAAATTTCGTAAATTTAGAATTGATTCGTTAATGGCGGACGCGATTGCGCAATACGCTAAAAAAACCTCCAAATGGGACAGGGGGAACTTCTGAAGCTTCCCTCTCCCTCTGTTGTTGACTGTTGGTGCGATAATTTATTTTTTTTATCACTGATAAAACAAACAACAACTATAAAACTTGCACCAGACATACGGAAATAATAACGAAACAATTACGAAACGATTTCGAAACAATTTTGAACCAATTACGAAACAATTACGAAATAAATTGAAAAATTCGTTTCGATTTTTAGTTGCTCCTGCATGGCTCAATATCGGATCGTAAGCTAATTTAAATACGAATCAATAACGAATTATGAAATTAACGAACGAAACCGCCCAGCCCTAGAATGCTTCTAGTGCACCATGTGATGAGGTGGAAAGTCTTGGACAAGCTCTTGTTGTCCATATTTTCTATTCTTATTAAGTAGGGGGTACCAGAATTGAACAGTGTGCTATATGCCTAACAGTGCTCAAAAATAAGGAGTAAGAACACTCTAATGCCTAATAAAAGTTCTGAGAGCTTTCTGAGTATTTCATTCACACATTCAAAATGTTCCAAAGTTCCAAGAAGAGCATTCAGTCTACTTTTTCTCTCTCCTATTGCTTCAAGGCAAAAAAGTAAAATAAAAATCATTTGCTGCAATGTATCTCAGCTTTGACTAGGTCATATGCCGATTTTGTTGATTACTGATGTTGTTATGTGCTTCCAACTCAGGTCACGGTGACCCTTATCTTTACATCATCCTGGCAAGTTTTATTCCAAGGAGGTTTACCATCACTTTCCTCTTAGTATCAGAGTATGACTAGTTTCTGTGACTTAAAAGAGATTTAAACTCTGATCTTCTAGAAACCTAGTCTAACACTGAAACTGCTATATCACACTGTCAAAAGTCGCTGCAAGGATGCAGTAATTAGTGAAAAGAAAGAAAATATGATTTCTCATTTATGTTGTGCATTTATGGGGTTGGGGGGGGCATGTCTCCAGTCATGGAAAAGTGGTGGTAGAGGTTATCTGAATGCTGTGCTGGAACTAGCAAAGTGATGGGACTGGTGATACAGGTGATGACTCAGTGCAAATGGTGACTACCTTGTGGAAAATTGAGAGTTGTTTGCATAGCCATAAATGCCTACTTCAGATTTAAGCTCCTGATATGCTTTCTTTGCATGTTCACCCTCTTATTCCTGTTGCAATACTTTTGTTAAAACCAAACAATTCTGTTGAAGTGGTTTTCTTACTTCACTCATGATGTGAAGATTTCTTTGATGCTGGGTCATTGAATCTCAGTTGCTATTTTGAGCTCTGATATTTAGAAATAGGTGGAAGGGAAGGTCAGGTGAGTCCAATAAATTGAAGAGTTCTTTGTAAATTACAGTAAGCTTAACAGGTTTTTGTGTGTGTGTATCAGGTAGGCATGATTAGGTTCAGTCAGAATCTTCTTAATTCGGAATAAATTTGGAAAGATTGGAAAGATTTGCTTTTTGAAGCAATTTTGGAGTTTTTAAGGAAACCGGAAGTCCCATTGCCCTTCCGAAGCTTTTTCCACCATTTCTGTTACCAAGCAGTAAGTGAGTTGCAAATGATTAAGCTTTTCCCCACTTCTGGTGCCTGGCCTCAGATCAAGCCTTGGAAGCCGTTTTAAAAAAAAAAAAAAAATAAAAATAAAAAAAACAGAGTGGAGATGGAAATTTTCCTCCCCTTTAACACACTGTTCCTATCCTTCCTTCCTTCCCTTCCTTCCTCTCCTTACTTTCCTTCCTTCCCTTTCCTATCCCCTTCCCTTTCCTTCCTCCTCTTTCCCCCTCCTCTCTTGTCTCAAGTTTTGGAAGCCGTTTTAAACCAGGGTGGATGAATTTCCTCCCTTG